TTCTTGGCTATAAAACGTTCTCTTGCTGATATTCTTGACTTCAGATTGAGATTATTTCTTCATCTCAGCATCCAGGTAGGTATGCCAGCCGATGTCGCCGAACAAGTCATCCTAATTGCAAGTTTTGGCCATTTTAGACGCGAGACAAGTTGATAAGCTTGTCGGTACGGCTCGCTCGGAAAATTACACTGGACATCTACCAGTGTACGCACTTCGCTAACTACTTTTTCTACCAGATTTCACATTGCATCCTGATTTATATTAAAAGCAAATGTGACAACGGACACTGGCAACGCAATCGAAACGTTCAGCAGCGCATGCTCCTTAGACTTTGTCATTCATTGCCACAGGAATCCCAATTTTTTGTTAATTTTCCAACTTTTCCTACAAAAACATATGGCACTCGACGATATCTTTAACGCCGTGAAACTTATTCAAAGAGAAGACAATTTTGATAGCTAGAGCTTTAAAAAAAGTTTAAGTTTAAAGTTTATTTTTTTTTAAATTAAATGGTTTTAAATTTTTTTATTTKCATGAGTTTGGCTTAGAAAACGAAACTTATATTTTGTAGCACTAGCCACATGCAGTCTTTGACTGCGTATTTTTTATTTTGTGTTTATCATTAATTAGTAAATCTGGCGTTCTGTGCCATCATAAAGATGTACCTTAGCCTGCTAATGACAGTTCATATTTTTGGATTTGTCTAAGTTTTTCAAGTTAAACAATCATCAAAACAAACAATAGAGAATTAAAATGCTTCATACACAATATAGATTTTGTATACAGAGTTCAGTAAAGCTCACACGTGCAGTTTTCCGAACTTCAAACACATCGTTAGTTTAGAAAATGGCATCAATATTTTTCAGATGAGGTTTGATATGCTTTCTTCCATCGAATGATTGTTTTCTGTCAAAGTATGAACCTTAAATATCCATGTGATTTCTTATTTTTGAAGATTTTCTGTTTGACATCGAACACTTGTGTGTCGAAGAAGAAGTAGTGCTCTTCGAGTCGGCGGTAGAAAATGCCCAGTCATTTCTGCACGAATCATCCGCTAATCTTGAATTATATACCTCAATCCATGTCGTTTGGATGGTAATCAGTTGATTTTGTAAGATTTTCAGCTCTTTAGAGCATTTTATTAGAACCATTTGAAAAGAGACAACTTTTTGCCGTTTTCATTCTGAGACTGCAGTCCATCTGCAACGCAGGCGCTACCAAAAATCGCTGATTGGTTTATTTTGACATCTCCATGGAAACTGAGACTGCAACGCATGCGCTATCGATGCGCTACCAATTTGAAGCGTAATATTCACCACCACGACTAAATCGCCAGTTGCATTTTAAGACGTGGACTTCCACAGGAAGCCCACGTAAATATGCTGAAAAAATTGTACAACTCAAGTGAACAAGTGAACAAGCTGACAACTGAACAAGGTGTGAAACAACCTCGTTCCCAGGGCCATCACGGACTCCACAAAATGGCCGGTCGTCCAGCGATGACCCTGGCAAACACTGATTATCACGTGATCAAATAGTCCAAAATTCATGGAGTATTTGATCACGTGTCAATCTATTCAAAAATGTGTTCGCAACGTAAACCCAACGTTTTTAATCGGGCTAGCTGTGGTGGGTCGACATTTTGTTTATCTGACTGAACAAAAACATTTTAACTTAGTTTATTTCATAATTTCCATTCAATTGGCAATATAAGTAAAAGGAGTAGTTTCAGTTCATTCTAGAAGTCCTCATGGGTTCTTGGAAAGAGAATGCGGCTGTAGATTAAAGCGCCGATTAGAAGACTTTCAAAACATCAACGCTTTCGCTAAAATACAGTAAATATATCGGCCGGTTTTAATTACTTACACCTTCGGCTGGCTTCTCAAAAGCATGCATGAGATAAAGAACACACGAAAAGACAACTGACGTGAATTTGAAGCAGTATTGTTGCCTTTTGATCGATAAAACGGACATCAAACTCTTCGGAAAATTGGACGCATTCAAAATAACGGTCGAATCTGGTCGAACAAACCCCGATTGATAGCCGAACATATCTTAAAAATAAACATCCAATGGCAAGCGGTATAAGAATGACGTCTTTATCAGCCAATCACAAAGCGCCTTAGTTCAGTGTTTGCCAGGGTCATCGCTGGACGACCGGCCATTTTGTGGAGTCCGTGATGGCCCTGGGAACGAGGTTG